GAATTGGCAGCTAGAAAATGTGCTAATGAAATGACAAGGGATATGGTGCCACTTGAGAAATGATAATCATGCACACAGTTCACAAGGAATTAGATGTTTTCAGTTCCGTTCATTCACTTTGGACTTAATACAGGGTGTGGATTTAAAAGTGAAGGATTAAGTAAAAAGGCTTGACCCATCTATGACATCATGAATCTGTGACTGGACTTCTGGAACTACCTCGAGTTCTACATAAGGTAACCTGAGCCAGAAAACTCTAAGAGAAAAGATTAAGAAAAGCAAAGGTAAATGTTATAAATGTTCTAACTGAAGAGAGAGTATGTAATGGGTCAGCTTCTTGTTCTTGTTGCGCTCAGCGATTACACTGACGATGGCATCAAGGTTCTTGCAGAATCAGGTCATGGCCTCCTTTACGGGTTTCTCAATGAAATGCTCCTCCAGGTACATGCCCAGGAACAGCTGAGAGCCCGGACAGACAGATAGACAGACAGACATACAGGTTATGCTGCAATGCAGTGATGCTAACTGACAGACCTTGTCCCACGCATAGACAACATCCTTGGGACTCATCCTCTGCCCACTGCTGAGAATACTGAGACTGCGAATGCCACCCCCCACCCGCTTTCCCTGAGGAAGCCTCCAGGGAGGGGTGGAGTTACAGGCAGAAGGCAGACATAACTGCCCTGCTCCGGCAGTTAGAGAGTGAAAGTCTTGCAGTCTTGCTGTTAGCACGCCGACAGCCAAGGCCACTCTGAATATGGGAATCTTAATCAGTATGTTCAAGACTAAGATGCCATACACAGGTGCAAGGACAGCAATCTCACGGTACACTGTGCACATGTGCCTTTCTGTAGCCAAAATATGATGTCACTATTGGCAAGAGGCCTCTTTGTCTAAGTGCAATAATCCACGTGACTGACCAGCTAGAGTGGTGCGGAAAAGGGGGAAAGGCTGGAGAGGCTGGAGAGAGGCTACTGAGGCTGCTGAGGTTAGGAGCTCAGGTGCCGCTGCTATGTGAGGCGGTAGGTCTAGAGGCAGCGTGCGGCTGCTCAGATAATGATGACTGTGGGAGAGGCTACTGCTACTTTGTGGGAAAGATGTATTTGTTCATCAACTGGTGTGCAGCTGCCTATTGAGACTTGGTTGTGAAGAACTGTTTTGTCTGATGGCCATATGGCCACTGGCTCCTACAATAAAGACTCCTGCTTATACACTCACCAATTACCTGAAAGATGGGGGAAATGTGTAACTTACAATGGACATTACTTTGAATAAAGCACGTTTGATGCTTCTCTTGAAATTCTTGTGTTTTCTTTGATTACAAAATCCACCATTATTAACCAGTACACCTAGTAGGAGTAAGAATTAGGTCCTGCTTTGACACTTGGCATAGCCATTAGCAGAATTCAGAAGAATATAGGGACTCAGAGCAGCTATGCTCTGACACCATCTCAACATGCCCTGAGCTCTTTGCTTCACATCTGGGGGTGTTAGATCCTCAGCTTCCCCTCTCAGCCCCTCCCGGAAAAGAGAGGGCCCACTCAGGTCCTTTTCCTGGCCTTCCTGATCCTCAAACCTCCAGCTCCTGGTCCCAGCTCAAACCCAGTTTGCCCAAAGCCAAAGCAAGGAACTCCATTCAACGGCACATGGTGTCTGAGAGTTAAAATAATGCATTGTTTCATAAACGGGAACATAATTATTCCCTCAGCTTTGCACAGAGTTTCAGTGTGCCAAGCGCGGCACCTCGAGCATCTCACAGAAATCACACGGGGGAGCAGGAGGGGTGGTCTTCCCGGGGTCCTGCCACGGGTAGCACGGGAGGGGCTGAAGCCAAAGGCTTGGGACTCGTGGGTGACTGTTCTTTCCAAACGATCCTCTAGAAATTGAGGAAACATTCATTCTGAAATAGCAAACATGAAAAGAGAAAGGAAGAGATGTCAAAAGAAACTAGTACGTTTGGTGAAAAAAGGGTAGATATAGCCCAACAGAAAGCCTCGCCTACAGGTTCTGCTGATCTGAACCCAGAGCGAGCAGAAG